GTGTGAAACGTAAAACGGTGTAAAATTTAGTTATATAAGAACATATTTGGAAATTTAAAAAATTTTAAGTGAACTGGGCGCAAACGTGCCATGAATCAAAGGGAATGCAGAAGATTATTAGGAGAAGTTTTAGAAAATCCTACAATAAGTCCTGTCAAAATTGCAGTATCATCGCAGAAGTTGATTCGCAACATTATAAATGATACTACATTGCATCACAGGTTAAAAGATGTTAATATCAATACCTATGTGGTGCATAAGATTGTAAATATTATTCGCACGACTCTATCAAATCTTAATAGATTTGAAGGTGGCACAGTGATGTTTTTTGGGGATGTCTATCATGGCACCTTAAATGAGTCCGGTTATATTGGTATTTTAAACAACCATATCTTTACGTCAGAAAATAGACACTTTCCAATCACTGGATTCTACAACATTACAATGCACCATTTCATAAAGGATGTACTCTCAACCAATTTTAAAAGGAGTTAAAACAAGCTGTTCTTTTATGGCCTTCACAGAGCCCTAATCTTAATGTCATTGAAAATGTTTGAGACTTCATTAAACAGCAAAGGACAATTGATACAAATTCAAAACGTAGTGATACCATAATTAAAATAAAATTGATTCGCAATTTGATTGAATCAATTCCAGCTAGGTTGCAGGCAGTTATTGATGCCAAAGGTGGTATAACTACATATTAATTATATTAATTGAATAACCATAAAAAAATTATAAAAAAATTTTTAAATTAAGAAGAAGAAAATGAAATTAATATTTTGTGTAATTATTTTTGACAACTAATAAACATCAGGGCGTTTGCTTCTATTTTTGTCAAAAGAACAGTTATCTTTCCAATTCCTTTTTTATAGATTTAAAATACAAATTTTCAAACTCTTTTATTTAATTTTATGGCAACTGAAGGGCTTATCTGGTAAATCACAATTAATAGAAAGTAAGAATGGTCCGTAAAGAGTTGTGATTTAATTCTTCAAAAGAAAGACAGTATGCATAATAAATTCCATTGATCTGGGACTATTTATATAAAAATTAAATGCTGTTGTTAATAAGTTAAAACTAACTAGAATTGTGTATGTGAATAAGTTTGTTTCTATTAATTTTATTAAAAAGGGATATACATTTCATGGTCGCAATTCAGTATCACTGTTTTAGTATCAAATATCAAACAAAACTGTCTACCAAAGCATTATTTGTTAAGTTTGAAATTTGATTCCGAAGTATATACACAATTGTGAGGGAATTTTAGTAAACTGGATCTGTAATAGATGTACTAAGTTTTAGAAATTAACTAAATGTACGCTTGGCTAAAAATATTGGATGTCGTTAGTGAAATAGTCAAATAATATCCAAAGTTATCCAGTACATGGTTTACAGTATGTAGTCATATCTTATATATATATATATATATATATATATGCATATACTATATGCATAATATTTTACATTTGGTGGATAAATTTTCGACCTACATGTCCATTTTTATAAAACTCAGCTAACATAAGAAATAAAGGTTGCTTAATGTGCAATATGTACAACATACGCGATATATTCGATATCGAATTTTCTTCAGTGATAAGACTTATATCTTGAGCATATATCAATAATATGAATCCATATGATGAATATATCAAGAAACAACATTGTCACATCAGAAGCACTGACAGTGTAGATGCAGAGCATTGCGTTTACACTATTACTTTGTGGTGCACCATTTGATCTGATGATGATGAAGTTGTGACTTTATTCGTCAATTCTGGTTGCTACTGCTACTTGCAGTAGAGGCGTGACATGGAAGATATGAATGTGAAATGTATGTGGTTTTAAAAGTATGGTCCCACGATTCACGCAATATATCTAGATCATGAAGATCATGTTTATACTACCTTAGTGTTATTGAGTCAAAACCGAGTAAAAACGTTTAATACGTTTCACATGATGTACTAATGCATTAAGTTTTTCACCGAATACGAGCGCGGATGGGTTTTAATGCGTTCCAAATTAGCTCTTTCGAAGAGTTGTGATTTGAGATAAATACTTAAATACTAAAACGTTCCAAACACAAAAAAAATACCACACTTACTGTTAACGACATAATCATTTAAAAAGATGCGTTCCAAAAGTAGAGCAGTACGCTTTTCTGCTTCTAAGTACCACATTAATAGCGGTTGTTAGAGATTGTTGACAGACATGTGTTTTATATCCACAGTGTTCGGTCGAGAACGTAGTCTAATGAAGCTTACAATTTTTGTTTGCTTCAAAGCAGTTTGATCCCCCTCTAGAGTAGTGTTTACGTTTTCGAGTGCGCACTGTAAACAATAAGTTAACTCAAACCTTTAACAAAGCACTGTCTTAAGGAAGCTCACTGTCTTACAGATGCTCCATGCGAGAAAATTTGTAATTTTATGAATATTTTTATTATCTAGTTAAATCTATCTCTGACTGTAGAATGAAATTTATTCCTAGTAACGCAGAAATAAATATATTAATACAACATAAAACAACAACAATACTAAATTATATAATATAATTATATAATTACATTTACATTATGGTCCTGTTTTTGGTAATTGTAAAGCTACTTAACTGATTTTTCACATAAGCAGATGCGGCCAAGATAATATTAAATAACTAAAAATGTGTAATTAGGTACTATGAAATTAGTAATAATATGCCTCAATTGCTATTTACTGTGACTATATAACTTATTATGTTGAAGCTGTTTTGAACTAGTGCACTTAAGCACTTAAACTCTTTTTTAACTCGAGATTTCTTCAAAACCCCTCTCTACACCTTGACTAGATTATTGTTTATCACTTCATCAGACTAAGCAATAATTGACCTCAGATCTGCATACCTCCCCGAGGAGCCTGTAACCATTCTGAGATTTAATAACGCGGTGTTGGTGAGTCTGTCAGATTTCGCAAATAATTTCAGAGCTCTTTCCTTTATGTATTTTTTGATGGGATCAATCTTGATGTCCCTGAGGATGTCATTCGTCCTAATGTATATAACTTGTTGTTTGTAACATAAATAATGCTAGGTAGAATTTGCCATATAGCTTTATGTTATATATTACGTACTTTACTCATACGCAGTGGTGTATATATATATATATTTATATATATATATCAGCAATTGTTATTTATGGATACACTTTTTTTAAATACGTCACAAAATAGCCAAGTTGGGAACATCACATCACAATTAATTTTTTTTGAAATTTGAAAACGGCGTACTAACAGCACTGTTACCAAAATATACGATTTGTGCTAAATCATATTTATAATATATCAAGTGTAATTTTTTTGAATATTATTTTTTGAATACAGAATACAGTAGCTCCATCAAAGCATATTTTACCATAATTTAACTTCTCTTGAACAATCGAATATGGAGAAAATTACATTTATCAATAACTTACTAACAATTAGTTTAAGATTTAAATAATAATCGACGAATTCAATTTTTGCTGATGATATTGAGTATAGTTGAGTTTCAGAGATAAAGTTTACATTACTTCCATCTGAAGAAGAGAATTTATTTAAATTTTATTAGATTACTTAATTTTTAGTTAATGTATATAACACATATATTCTATATATAAATTCATAATTTAAAAGTTTATATATAAATTTTCATTCTTAATTCTGTATCACAGAAAGCTTCTTAGAAATAAAACACGAATAAAATGAAATAAAAAATATGGTTACATTCATTCTTACATATATGCATTTTTGATGTTATAGTAAAAAAAATTAATTTTGACTCTAACAAGCTTAAACAAGTTACATACGACGATAAAAAATTTATTTCTTTAAAATTTATAATACCTAATAACCAAATTAAGTGAAAAAATTACAAGAATTTTTTTCTTTTGCATAAGACAGAAACCAAAGGATACGTCCGTATAACAGACATTTTCGAATGACCGTTAAATTTTTATTATTACCAATAATGTTAAACAATGATAATCTACATATTATCGGACAAATAGCAAAAATCACCAAATATGTTGCCAGAACATCATCAAAGTAAATGTCGATCATAGCAGATAATAACATACACATCGATATATATTTTTTATTTTTACAAACAAACTTTCAGAAAACACACACATATATATACATATACTGTCCGAAACATGATATTAATTGCTTAATTAAACAATATTTTATATCTGTACGGAATGACTTTTTATAACAAATATTATGTCAAATAAGAAAAATGAAAACAAAATTAAAAAGAAAATTATGAAATTTTATCCTCGAATAATTGAGGTTAAAGTTTTTTCGTTTTGTCTTAGTTACAAAGATATAGATAAATTCTGTGTCCGAATTACCACGATGCCAGAATCGATCAGTATCCAGATTATAGGTAGCATACTCTATAACTGTAGAAATCTAGAAGTCGATTTTTCAAAAAATTCAACATAAATTTATTAATACATTATATTACATTACATGTGAGATATTTCACAAGATTTGAGACATTTTTCAGTTTAGTTATAA